GAAACATTTAGAAAAACATGAAAATATGTCCCATAAACTATACCTCTTGAGTTCTAATTTACATTAGTTTTATATGTTAAATTATGTATGTAAGTGGAACATAAAAGCAAATTTACAGTTAAAACCGACTGGAAACTATGCAATTAATTCGTACTTGTGATAGACAGAATGTGTAACAGTGATTAACTTTTCAGATAGGAGAAGAAAAATCAGTTGTTCTTAGGAGGTTTTATCTTCCTTTTATCATTAATAAAATATTTAGCAAAAAGGGCATTTTTACTTAATAGGCCCTATGTGTTCCTCTACTTGAAGAGAATTTGTCTTACGGTGACAGTTTCTGACAGAGTAAAAGTGTACTTGACTGCTCTTACAATTTGGAAGGAAGAATTAATATGCTTAACAACACAAAGAAAAACTTCACTCTCCTTTTTGTAACAAAGGAGCTTTTTAAAACTATCTGGCTTGCTTAAATATAATATTTTGAAGAGGACAGAGTTTTTATTTTATAAGTCATGAAGCTATACAGATTGCAATAGGATACAAAACCAGTTACTTTTAAAAGTTACATGATCAAGTCATTAAAAATAGAAGAATCTATTAAGCCAAGCTGTAGTACATCTATCTTTGAAAATACTTTAGAGGCCAATGTTTCCAAAATGAACCAGATGCACCAGAAGTACTTAAGGTAATTTATATGTAAAATACAGATTCCTAGGGCCAGGCCCAGAACCATTAAATCAGATTCTTTGAGGACAGTGGGTGGGTGGTAAGATTAGCACTTGAAGTTCCACTTAAACTGAGACTTTGTATTATGTTCTCTGGCTCTGTCAGGGAAGGGACATTGTGATAAGGGTGTTATGTGTTCTTACCACAATAAAATATAATAAAATAATAAATAAATTCATTTTTAAATGAAATATGAAAGTCAAAAATATACATAAAACGAGTAGCATACTTATATCACTTTTTTAACATGACTTCCTAGGTGATTCTTATAAATGCTAAATTCTGACACCCCTGGTTTAAACAACCCCTACAGAATAAGCAGAACAATTTATGTAAATGATTTCACCTTTAAACAAAGCAACTTACTTCACTCATAGGCGCCATTCTAGATAAAACAGTAAGAGAAATATCCTGTGATAGTTTTTAAGTGAAAAGAAAAATATTTGGAAACCATTTTAAAGCTTTAGAGAATTTACATTTATTTTTTTAAAAGCCAAAACAGTAGTTTTGAAGTCCCACTTTTAAACTGAGCCTTTG